GATTGTTCCATAGCGTCGGAGCTGCAACTGAGAAGGCTCTCCTCCGCGTAGTCGCCAGTCGGCACTGACTGGCGGATGGAATTCGGAGGAGAGGGTGAGGGTGTAATGTGAGAGGGTTCTCTTTCACTCTTGCAATTGTTATTGATCTTTTGATTCTGTGTTATGGAGCAAGTCAGTTTTCAGTCTTCTCTCCAGCCCCCATAAAAAGGGGACCTTTACTTCCAATATTGTGTCTACTCAGGTTGGCGTTTTGCAAGAGCAACAGCCTTCTAACTAAAAGTGGGCAAGATTGGAGACCTCCTGATCATATTCGTCCAGGGATAGTTTTTTGGTAACACCTCTTTAATTCTCCCCCACTCTTACCTTAAGCAACATGTCCATGATGGCCGGAAGGAAAGCCTGGAAGGTTTTGTGAAGACGTTTGAAAAGTTGACAAGGGCAGATGGGCATCCTGGCATCTACGCCTTGGATTGTGAAATGGTAGGTTGGCTGTGCATATAGAATAACGTTAAGGATTCCATCTTTCATCAGGAGTGTGTGTTTAAATGTTGTACCCCGACAATCCAGTATATTTGTATGGAAACAACTTTGATACTGTTATGCACACTTAATGAAGAGCTTGGGTAATGTAGAATGGGTTTTCCAAGTAAAACAAAGCTGTTGAGATTCAAGAGGAGGCAATCAGCAAGGACATAAACCAGGATATGGTTAAAGAAGCCAGGATGGTTTGCATTGTAGAAGTAGAAACACACACACACACCTGAAAAAATGAGAAGGCAATCCCAGAAGAATACAGTTAGGAAAACTGATTCAGAGTCCACAAAATTTTGCCTGCCTCGGGTTCATGGAAAGGTTTCCGGGGACGTGGGATACCCTGGTGCGTTCTGGAAGAGGGAGGAATTTAGAAGCCTGAACCAAAATTTCATCACATTTTCCATAATGTGTTTGTTTGCAGAATTGAACTTTTTAAAAATTCTAGTTTGAACATCATTGAGAAAGGGCTAAGGCACAGATGTACCTGTTACGTCCCTTCCCCAAGCTGGTGCCCTTTAGGTTTGTTGACGCTATATCCCTTAATATTCCCACCAATCTAGCTCTGCTGGTTGGAATTTTGGGAGTTGCAGAATCCATGCGTCTGGAGAACAGGTGGCGGTGGGGGGCTATCAGAGCAGAGGGATCATTGATAATAGACTTAACCCTAGCTCACAAAGTTACTGTAGAGATAAAATATAGAGTTGGAAGGTACCAATTACAATTTCTGAACTCCTCAGAAAGAAGGCAGAATAGAAATGTGGTTAAAACAAGGCATTCCTGAATGACTAGAAACATTTCTGAATCCTTTTTTCCCCCTGATTTTTTTCCACACCTTTCTATTTGATTGCAAAATTCGCCAGCGTCTGATGAGCGAATGGCTGCTGTTGTCCAACAGCTGGTGGGAACCCTTCCTAAAACCTGCTTTCTTTTGTGTCTCTCGTATCTCATCTTCTGCAGTGTTACACTAAGCAAGGTTTAGAGCTGACGCGCATCACTGTGATCAACTCAGACCTGAGAGTGGTCTACGATACCTTTGTCAAACCAGACTCCAAGGTTGTGGATTACAACACTCGGTGAGGGCCCACAAAGTGTGAAAGAGAATGAGTATCATAAAGAAAAGGCTGTGTTTGGTGACAGCAGTTGAGAAGCCAGAGTACCAGCTAAGCATCTGCGTCTTTAGAGTTTATTTTATTTATGTTATTTATTTATTTTAGGAAATTTATATTGCTGCTTATTTGCACATAGCGACTCAAGGCGGCTTACAGGAATATAAAAAGCTCAAATGTAAAACAATAAAACTAATAGAAGAGAATAACACATCATAAAATAATATAATAACCCGCCACCCCAGTGACACCACATCACACAAGCCGTTTAATGGGCTCCATCCCGCTCTGGGTTCCCCAGGCCCGCTAGCAGAACCGGTTCTTCAGCGCTTTCCGGAAGAGTATTATAGAAGGGGCCATTCTAATCTCTGGGGGAATGATATTCCGGAGAGAGGAGCCCACCACAGAGAAAGTCCTTCTGGGTCTCACCAGGTGTATCTCCTTAGGGGATGCGACCTGCAACTTTCCTTGCCTCTGGTGGATTGGGTAGATATACCGCAAGAGATGGTTCCTCAGATAATCTGCTCCCAAGTCATAAAGTACTTTAAAGATGACAACCAGCACCTTGAATTGCACCCAGAAGCAAATTGGCAATCAATGCAACTCCTGCAGGAGAGGAGATAACATGTGTACCCCGAGGTCTGCACGAAACCATGTGGGCCACTGCATTTTTCTGCCAACGGGAGCTTGCATGCTGAAACTCCGAAACTCTGGAGGAAGTTAGGCCCACAGCAGGTGCCAGTCCCTCCCACCCATCTAGGCTAACTTCTTAACCTCCTCCATGTGGCTTTCTTTTCAGAGTTTTAGCAGGTGACCTTTATTTTTGAGTTTCAGATTCACTGCCTTGTTCTCTACTTGTCCTGCTTTGTGAATCAGGGAAAGAATAAATTCAGAAGATTCGCACTCCCAGACAAATCGCTGATCTGTCTAAATCACATTGCCCCAAGAAATGCGAGCCGAGTGTTTTTCCTATGGAGGAACCTGCTTTTCGTGATTCTTTCCGATTTACCGCTCTGAACTTTGTTCTTTTCCAATAAGGCAACACTTTGTATGGCGATATTTGTAAATGTACCACATTGAGGAGATGCCAGAGGGCCCTGTGGCACATGCGGGTCGTGTAGTGCTGGATTTCAGGGGGAAGTTGATCTTGTGTTGTTTCTACATTCTTGCCCGTGTTACAGTTTTTATCTATTTCCCAGAACAAAATGGTGGGGAAGCATGGCTTTTGCTTTCAGCCATCATCCCCAGAGTGCTGTCAAAAAGAAACCAGGATCCATTTCCCTCAAGAGATTTTGTGAAGGAGAAGGGAGGAGGTTCTCTGAGCAGGAGTTAGGCTACAGTTGCACCTGTGAGGGGTGGTAACTATATGTCTGAAAAGCTGCAGAATTATTTTTAAAAAAACAAATCCACCTTTTGATACCAACCTTTCCTTGGCAGGTTTTCGGGTGTGACGGAGGCAGATCTGGAAAACGCATCAATAACTCTTCGGGATGTCCAGGCAGTTCTCTTGAGTATGTTCAGCACAGACACTATCCTGATAGGCCACAGTTTAGAAAGTGACTTGTTTGCACTAAAGGTAAATGTTGCACGGAAACACACGCATGTTTTATGTTACACCCTTCCCCTGAAATGATGGCCGTGGCTAGTTTATGGCAAATCCCCCTTCAAACCCATTGCCTTCTCTGGCCAATGTTTTAAGATGCACTTCTTTAAAACGTATATCCTTGTACTTAAGCAGTCTTAATCAAAAGTCCAAAAGGAAAGAAAGAATGTAAAGACGAATCCCATAGATGTTCTTCTTCCTTCCCTTCCTAGCTTATCCACTCTATGGTGGTGGACACAGCTGTCGTCTTCCCTCACCGCCTTGGTTTGCCTTACAAGCGGGCACTGCGTACTTTGATGGCGGATTACCTCAAGCGCATCATCCAGGATAGTGGTAAGATTTTTTTT